ATGATGATACTTGATGATGATGCATGATGATACATGATACATGATACATGATGGTGATGCATGATGATGATACATGATGATGATACATGATGATGATACATGATGATGATACATGATGATGATACATGATGATGATACCTGATGATTTTTCACCACTCACAAAGAATTTTCTCTTTTTCAGACTGTCCACCCGGACGGTACAAAGACTTCAAAGGCTATGCTTTGGAGTGTACAAAATGTCCAGATTTTTCGACGCACAACAAGCATGGCAGTAARAATCATGGTGATTGTGAGTGTATGCCAGGGTATTATGGAAACCCCCATTACCTGACTCCTTGCAAACGTAAGTACAATTGAGGCCACGTTCGATATCTTAAAGTTAAGAATTGATTGCAACGCTTTAGTAGTATTGTACTTCCTGTATTGTACGAACACGTGGAACACCAAGTACATTTATTGGTAGGAATAAAATAATGTACCTTAGCATATACCAACTTGTTTACTTCCTAAGAACGCGCGCGCTCATTGGTTAATTGGAGGTGAATAAATTAATACTGTACGATATTCACCTCTGAATCTCGAAATATTGAGTCGGCAACAAAATGACATCTGCCGGCAATCGTTTTGCTACAATTTCCGATGAGGAAATTGAAAAAATGAAAGTAAATGCCATTCCTATCAATTGAATTTGTAACGCAAACTAAAAGTTTCTGTTTGTTTGTTTTTATTGAATTATTGTATATAAAAATAAGTTACTCTGTACACAAGTTGGTATATGCTAAAACAATTGCCCTATAACACTATGACGTCACATCAAAACAATCTATTGTTTTAACGCTAAGGATCATGGTCGCCAGAGGGGGCAAAATAGCAGCAAAACGAATTAAATCACAATAAAAAATGGTTAATTAGACGGGGAAAGGTGAGAACAGATAAATGTTGTACGGCGAATAATTGCTAATTATACGACGTTCCTACTTTCAACTGCTCAACAACATTACAATCGAATCTGCAACATTATATCTACTGATTATATTCTTTTAAGCTTCAATATAATAAGCCTCTTTACCTCGGGCGTAATGCTTTTTATCCGCATGTCATTCTCTTGAGAATGAAATTATTTGCTTGAGTTGTATCCATATTCTTCTCCTGCACAAGCGTTAAACAAAGAAATGATACTCTAGGGAATGACACGTGGTCTGGAATCGGGAAACATTACGCCTAAGGTTAAGAGGTCTATATTGGAACGAAATCGACGCCATCTTAAAAATGTCCCGTAAAAGTGTCCCACAATGTACTGCAATGTCAACTCGACCCTTTTCCCCCCAACCCTGTAGAAGTCAATATAGACCTCAAGCATAATGACGTTTATTTCATACCTTCCAGAATACATTTTGGTAGCTTTCTTGTTATTCTAATTTTCACTTATTGTCTTAGAGCGCATGCAGTAAAACCATGAAATAAAACAAAGTTGACACTGACAAATAGCACTATTTAGTTACTAATAGTTGTTATCACTCAACCAGAACATTCATCATACAAAGACAAATACACAAGAGACCATTTGCGTCTTTTGTTTAATAAATGTTCTGGTTGAGTGCTAGCAACTATTTGTCAGTATCAACTTTGTTTTTATTTCATGGTTTTATTGCATGCGCTTTAGTATTCTCAAAGGAGTTTTAACATTTGACTATTCAATTCAATATGAAATAAGATTTTTAAAAGGATTTTATAAACGTCATTAGGACTAGAAATGCTCTTCCACCACAAGGACCGTAGTCCCATGGCCAAAAAAACCAGGATCGATCGTACGAGAGAGGGTGAATCTGAGATCGAGTCAAATCCGAGTTGTTACACCCAGAAAAGACTTTTTATTTTCGAAAAAAAAAATTATTTATTTATTTATTCATAAATTCACTTTATTCTTCTTTTCTTCTTTTTCATAGCAAGACACTGTTCCGTTTTAGCGGATCCGCTCTACGGATCTATCAAAGGAAGATGTAAGACAACGTTGGGCAGCGAGTGTTCCTTTGAATGTGACGAGGGGTATCGGTTGTTAGGAGATGCTAAAAGACAATGCATAGTTGATTCTAAAAAAAAAACATTAGTCACTTGGAGTGGCACTCCAGTTACTTGTAAAGGTTAGTTTACATAGGAATATATACAACCATGACCGACTGACCGACTGACCGACTGACCGACTGACCGACTGACCGACTGACCGACTGACCGACTGACCGAC